AAGATACTGGTATTTCTAGACCAGTAAGGCTTTAGATGAAGCATAGCTATAGCTTGAGCAAAAGCATTATCCAGTACTCTGAACTAAATAAACTATGCAAAAGGAAAAAAAGCAATCTGTATAAATTTATATATATACACATGCATTTTTGTATGGTTGCCTCTACAAAAGAAAGAAAAAGTCTGTAGAAGAATAAGAACACATACAAAAATTGTGATGTCAACCGAGTGCTGGATTTTTCCTCATGCTTCTCATTGGTTTATCTATCAAGCAGGGCTTTCGAGTTTGAGCTAGGCTTTGTTAGCATGCAGAAAATTGTGTATTGAAGGTTGCACCTTTTTTTTTTTTCTCCCCTCAATCATAAGAAGATGTGTAGAAAATCTCTTTGCAGCTTCTATGTATAAATTCTGAACTTGACCATGGTAGGACTTTGGATGCCTGTGATATTTTTCATATATAAAGTATAAAGTGTATAAAGTTTACAAAAGGGGAGTAGAGGTAGAAAGTGGTTATTACTCTACTTTTTATTGTGGTTGTTAAAATTAGTTACAGCCCAATAAGTATGTAGGTTATTATGAATTTTTGTTGAGATTGAAAAATGTGGCTGGGTTTATAAAGGAATTACTCATAATCCAGTCATGCTGAGTTTATATAAATTTTCTTATAATTCTTTTTTTTTTTTTAAGAAAAAAGCCTTTTCAAGAACTTTTCTGGGAGGATGGGGAGAAAATGGAGACAAAGTGTATGATCTGGGCAAGCTTTCCTTCTGTTTTGTCTTTTCTGATTACGGGAGAAATGGTACACCAGATTCCAGTCTCAACTGAGCGCTCAATCTTCCTCATCTATAGTTGAGTCATTTTAAAAAATGAATCATAATTTTTAATGTGGGCTAAATCTTAAGTGGTTTTTAACTTAGTATGTAAGTTTGTCTTCAGTTACGCAAAGTTCCTGTGTTAGGACCAAAAGACAGTTAAGAAAAGATCAGACACTTCAACACTTTGACTGTTACATATGCAGGTTTCTTATTTCTAGTATTATGATTTTAATTGCTTTGCCTTTATTCTGAAACAATACAACATTAGCCCTAGTCTCCTCTATATATCTATTGTTTTGGAGTCTTTCTTTTGAAACAAAATTTCTGCAGCACTCTGTGGAATCCAGCTGTTTTTCCTCCGTGTACTAGTAATAGCAATAGCTTTTCAGTTAGCAGTCTTGCATGCCATGCCTAGGCTGTTTGTTCTCCCCCAAACTCACTGGAGCATGAGGTGGGAAACCATATGTCATCCAAAGAAAGCTGTGATTCCTGGGCCACAATGTCCCCTTTTCTCCTTCCATCCCCTTGGCTAAATGAACACTGCTACATTCTGTCCAAATTGCAACAGAAGACGGGTTGAATGATAAGGGTTTAAATCCATTCAGGCAGAGGAGAGAATTGAAGGTCTCCCATGTGTTGAATGAATGCCCAAAGCACTGGGCTAACGGGTAATAAAAATAATAAAATTGTGAGAATAAAAAACCAAGGTGTTTCATGAAACAAACTTTGTATTTAAAGCTACCTGAAATTCATACTGTGCCAGCCACATACTGTGCCATATCTTTGCAGATAAGATAGGATTTAAGCACTACAGTGACAGGCTATGTGCTACATCTACACATAATTTAGAAACTGTCTCTCTTGAGGAGAGCTTGGAATACAGAGACTTAGACAAAGAAGGAATTTGTCCTTGATTTAAAAAACATATGAGAGTTATCCAATGGAATTTAAGACCATGTTTGTATTTTAACATGAGTGGTGCTTATGAATTTACTGAGATGGCTCACAAAGTGGTAAGGTGCTAAGTTATGCAGAATATCTGTAGTTGGAGGTAACAGTGAGAACACAGGTTCTGGTTTAATGCTTGTGTTTACACCACCATTTTCCAGTGAGTATGTAGATGATTTGGATCAGACTAAGTAAACTGTAATGGAACCCATAGCATTGTTGTTATTTGCTAGTTAGGAAGCTTAGGGAAAAAAGTTAGGAAAACTTCCTAGTTACTTCTATATATAATTTCTGGAACTTTTTGTCTATTTTTGATGGAAAGCATTTACTTGATTTTTTTCAAAGTAGAATTGAGAGCATTTTATTGGAGTTTCTCATTTTTATTGGCATAGAGCTTTACAAGATGTCCTGGTTTTGGCTGGAACAGAGTTAATTTTCCTCTTAGTAGCAGGTTTAGTGCTGTGTTTTGGATTTAGTAGGAGAAGAATGTTGATAACACACTGATGTTTTAGTTGTTGCTGAGTACTGCTTATGCTAGTCAAGGACTTTTCAGCTTCCCGTGCTCTGCCAGGTGCACAAGAAACTGGGAGGGGGCACAGCCAGAATAGTTGATCCAAACTGAGCCAAGGGCTGTTCCATACCATATGATGTCATGCTCAGTATAGAAACTGGGGGGGGTTGGCCGGGGAGCAGCGATCGCTGCTTGGGAACTGTCTGGGTATCGGTCGGCGGGTGGTGAGCAATTGCATTGTGCATCACTTGCTTTGGATATTATTATTATTATTATTATCATTAGTATTTTACTTTATTTCAATTATTAAACTGTTCTTATCTCAACCCAGGAGTGTTTCTCACTCTTACTACTCCCATTCTCTCCCCCATCCCATCGGGGCAGGGCGAGTGAGCGAGCGGCTGCGTGGTGCTTAGTTGCTGGTTGGGGCTAAACCACAACACAAGACAATGCCTCTTGTATTTTTTTTTTTCTTTTTTTTTTTAATGTGTGTTATTTTGAAGGTGATCCCCAAATAAGAGTGAAACTTGAAAATTATCCTATTCTTCTTATCGTTTTAGGTTAACTTAGTATTAGGACCATGTTCCATCTTTAATAGTTTGCCTACTAGAGGCTGGGGAAAGAGAATTAATTTTTCAGAGAAATGCCAGCACTGTTGAAGAGTACGCATGCAGAAGATTGGCAGTTGGCGTTTGACTTAAAATATTGATATGTCATTTTGTAGCATTTTAAAATATCTCAATTCATGTTAGTTTGGATACTGTCACATGAACTGAAAAAAAGATTGAATGACCGTGAACAAAAGATTGTGAAAAATGGTTCTGCCTTGGCTGTGAAATGTATGTTGTGGTGCTCATAATAAATACAGCTCCTGTCCAGAATGTGGAAATCTCTTGAAGAGTTTTGCTGGGCAACCAAAGCAGAATTTATATCCACAGACCTTTTTTCTTGACAGTTGCTTCAAGTATGGAATTAGCTATGCTTTTTGAATGTGACTGCTTTAAGTTCATGCACAAAAAAGGTGAATAGTTGTGTTGTTGCCGGAATAGAGGATATTTGCACTTGACTGAGTGAACAGAATTAAAAGCAAAGATTTAATTTATTTTTAATAAGTAACATAACACAGGTTTTTGGTTTTAATTACAGTTGCATAGGCATAATGCTCATTTAGTTGAATGGAATTTATCTGGCAAAATGTGAAATGAAAGAAGCATGGTCATTGCTGGGACAAGACCTCAGGACACTGTTGGAAAATTGCTAGGAAGTGGGCCATTTCTATTTTGTTTATTTATTTACTTATTATTTTCTTTGGATAATAAAAGGTGTGTGGGGAGACCTTACTGTCTTTCTGTTTGGTGAGTGTTTAACTGCTTTCCTCCAAACTTCAGAAAAACAATTTTTAGCATGAGGTTCAGTCACTGCTGTCATGCATCTGCTCATTTCACACTGCCACTGTCATGATTATTGACGTCATTATCATAAGATGCAATGATTTTTGTATACAACCTTGTATATGACTACTGAAAAACTTATTTAAATAATAGACGTCAAGTAAACCAGAATTTTTTGTTAGTCATCAATCTGTGTACGTATCCTAATCAGTAAATATCAAAACCATCAGCTTCTAATTACATTTCTTAATAAAATTTTTCTTAACGTATTTATTCTTTTTTATTGGTTTTTGTCTTTTTCACATAAAGTTGTAATATTTGCTGTATTTTAAATGACACAGCAATAAGACTATAGATGGCTTTATCAAGTAAATATTTGCTGTGACTGCCCATGAAACCAGCTAAACTCCGTTAGTTACAGTTGACAGTAACATTGACATACATCCCATTAGTGAAAATAAACTATTTTATTGATGCCAGGCATAGTCTTGGGTGTTTTCATCTAGGAAAATTTCATAAAATGATGAACATTGGGAAAAGCCATTCTTATTACAGTCCAAACTGTGTACAGGGGTGGGGGAGAAACAACTCCTCCAGCACCTCCTAAAACTGAATTTTACTGGTGTCCTGTTTATAGCTGTTAGACTGTTACAAAGCTATTTTTCAAATCCTTTGCTGCTGTATTTTCTCCTTCCGGATCACATAATTTACTGAATGTACTTATTTAGAGTCAGGTTTAAGGTGCTGAATTTCTTTTAAGAACTATTACAATGCTATATTTTGCTGACATAATTAAAAAGTCAGTAAGACTAGGTCCTAATGTTTGTAAATTTAAGCGTCTAATTGCTCATGTGATAGTCTTGTTCTTGGTCCACTCTTTGCTTCTCTCCTTTCCTTCCAGTTTTTGTTGTAGAAGCCATTAAGTTTACCTGTTTTCTTCTGTAATGCATCTGCTACTCGTTACTAGTTCATGGTTTACTTCAGTGTTGTGGCCGTTATGCACTCTACTGCATTTTAAAGAAAAAATTGAGTTACAATTATTTTTGTTGTATTGCTGAGATATTTAAAAGATGGTTGTGTGCATGATGTATTCTAAGTGAATCTGAGTATTTCTGAGCATTTTGTGTTTACTTGCTGATTTTTACAGTATTTGGTGAGAGGGTACAGTGTGTTCTCATTTTGTTTGTGTCCACAGCTCTCATACAGCTAGAGAAAATTACTAATGTGCATTGAGAAAAGCTATTAGCAGTTTGATTGTTATTTCTTTAATTACAGTTCCTATTATGTAAATCAGTTTTCTGTATTTTCATTTTCTCTCTCTTTATTCTTCATCCAGATTCCACCAAGAAAATTAAGGATGTCTTAGAAGAGTTCCATGGCAGTGGTGTGTTAGCAAAATACAATCCTGAAGGGGTAATTCTTCTTCTTTCTTCAATGGTCAGAAATTATGGAGAAAAATATTTACAAATGTTGTAGCAAATCTGAGCATTTGAAGTAGAAGATTATTTGTAAATCAGCTGTTTGGGGTATTTGAAACTGTTTGGAAAACAAAAATATGAATATTTTTAAAAACTAAAAGTTTATAAATATCACATTAGACAGACCTGCTTAATAATTTAGATAAAATCACATTTTCTTTTCTAAGACTTAAACAGACACCAAAAAAACCCAAACTTATGGTAAGGTTAAGATGCTTCACAATTCTTTTCAAAGATTGGAAAAGTTAAGCATCATTTCAAAAAATAGAAAAGTAAAATCTGTTCAGTTAAGATTTCTTTTTAAATTCTGTTTCTCTTATGTTGTTTCTGGTAGTGAGATCCTCATTATTAAAGGGGAATTTTTTTCTGATGTTATGAAACAAAGAATTCAGCTGAAAAAAAAAGTGTGTGTATGTGTGCATTGTCACTATAGATCACTGCTAGACAAAATATTCTGTTTTGGCTGGTAGAAGAAGCCACATTGTTTTCTTTTGTTATCCTCAATTGCAATTTGTATCTGCTTAGCACATCCTAATAGTGTGATTCAAAATGTAGCTAAATAAAAACCTGTTTCAGTAATGTTTCCAGTAGTATTGTTTCTAACTATGCTTGCATTATGTGGAGTTCAGAGTAGAAAAATGTGCTAACTGTTGTGAAAATTAGTTGATCTTATATTTCAGGATGTAAAAGACAGGAATTATTGTCAAATAAGGTAGTTATAACTCATTAAGTATTGAAAAATTCTTTGACACTTTGAACTTTGCAAAGCATAATGTTGGTCATTTTAGTTAGTTTCTGAGGAAAATATTTCATAGTTCAGTAAAACAATATGAGTTGATCTCTTAAATCATCATCTTAAATCTCCATTATTTTATTTAATTAGAATAATAGACTATAAAAAGATTGGAATGCTGTGATCATCTAATTTATTCTCCAATGTAATGGAGGCTGTAGGACCTCCCTTCATTGATTCCTGTTAGAAAGTACACACTTCTGTTTTTCTTAGAAAAGTATGAACTGTTGATTTACAAACTCAGTGCTTGCTCTTTTTTTTTTTTTTTACTTTTGCAGTTTTATTTGTGCTCATAGTGGATGAGATAAAATGGTCTTGATTTATTCATATTTTTTCTAGAAATTCCGCACTTTTCAGTCATCATACAGTAGTTTCAATTTTGTGAAGTGTAACCTTTTAAAGCACAAAGTAATTATTTTTTATATACGCAATTCTGTATTTTATGCATATTTAAATAACATGTCACCATGTAGGTAACACATTATCAAATTATCAGTGTTGATGTATAGGCAAATCAGTATTTAAAGTTGTGAGATTACTCTTTTAACAAAGTCATTCTTCCAATTTGGGGGTATGTGGAGGATGAGTCATGGCAAAAAGTGATCAGTATGGACACCTGGGACAACTGCTCTGACTGAAGCCAGGTGAATTGGCAGAATTTGTGCAAAGCTGGAATTAATAAACACAGCTGATCCTGAGCTGAGTCTGACTCTGTATGGTGTTTCCCAGAGTTCTTCATTTCACAGCGATTTGTTTGTAGAATCGTACCAATGTACTGCAACATCCAGGGATTATAGAGCAGCCCAGCACCCAAGCCAGTGAGCAGGATGGGAGGACGGAAGGAAGGAGGGAGTGCAAGTCAGACACCCTGTGGTGGCTTCAGTGTCTTCAGCAGGGATCAAGCTATTCACTACTACTGGGTCAATGCTGGATGCAGGCTAAACCTGACAGCTTTTGCACTTTGCTGTTTAGCACCTAAACTTCAGGGAGTGCAACATACGGAAAACACAGCCAGCAGCAAAGCTACTTTTGGATCTAGTAGGATTTATTAGCTCAGGTTTCATGCTGTAAGCTGGTGAACCGGAAGCCAAGTGGCTGAAATTTCCTCTGCAGTTGAGTGACTATTCCAAGTCAGATGGAACTGCCTTTGCACAGGTGTGTCTGTATTTTTGGCATGCATTCAACCTGCTACTTGGATAAACTCTTTACAGAATGATTTTCAAGTTGATTGTATCTGGTCGGATTAGGACTCCATGACTTGGGTGTACTATTTAAGTAATTAATTATGATCTGTAAATGAGATGACAAAAATTGACTGATCCAGCTGAAGTCAGTCATAGTGCAGGTTTTTACTTCCACATATTATAGACAGCATTTCTGTTCTGTTGTTGTGTTTTGTAGAGGATATCATTATGTTTCCATTTTGGCTCTTTATTTCCTAGATCATTATCTCATAGGCACTCCAAGTATTTTTCAAATCCTTTCAATATTCTAAAGGTGGTACCAGTTTTTTACCAATAAACATGGAGCATAAAGTTATGGCAGATTTAGCAGTATGATATATTTATGTACTTAAGAAAAAGCCTTAAGAACTTGCTCTTTCAAGCTTCTCCCTACTTAAAAGGTTCAGGAATTTATTCTACTCCATTGCTTCTGTGTTGCAGTTTTTTATCACAAGCTGATTTAATGGGACACAAATAGCAAAATAAAAGCTATTGGTATTTGAAGCTTGTTACCTGAAGCCATCTGGTTTGTTTTTCCATTATCTTAATACCTTGTCGAGTGAATGGTTTTTGGGCTTAGTGGAAATGATGTATCTATTTATCAGAAGGTCATCCAGTATGGGGAGTTAATTTATGGAGCTTTTACTCTCTGCTTTCAGTAGAGGGGAGGTGACTAAAATTTCTACAAATGCTACTGAACCTCTGCCCTTCCACCTTCTTCTATAAGTCAATGTCAAATATGTAATTAAGACTAGATTTTATACCTGATGTAAGACACAGGTAGGTTAAGATCAGCTTCCTGGAAAGCTGTGATTATAAATAGTCTTCCGTCATTTGAGATTTATCTAAATTAATTAACTTAAGCCATTTCATTTTGAGGGGAACACTGAATAGGCTAGCAAAAATTAGGAAAGCATATGGAGCTAAAGACTGTATCCAGATGGGCAGTAAGTACACATCAATGTGTGCTTGTAGTCCCACTGTCATCATCCTTTTTGAGGGATCTGTTAGAGTGCATCATCATAATTTTCTTGTTTACCTGCTTACCTACTTACCATCTAGAGCTCTTAGGGTTAATGAGTGCGTGAAGAGTGAGGGTGGAGGGTGCGTGGAGGGGTCTCAGCCAGACAAACAGTCAGGGTGCAGCTTGTGTCTGCACGTGGATCAGGGCAGTGCTCCAGAGTTCCACAGTTCGGATGTGGATGAAAAGAATAAATGTGCATATGCAGAAAGACCAGGAAAACAAAAATTTCCACAAAGGTTATGACAACGAGTGCATGACACAAGGCACATTCCATGATCTGATCTGCCCAGAGAGGTGAAGCCCCAGTTTGGCAGAATGTTTGCAGTCAGGCTGCAATCATCTGCCTACTCCAAAGAATTTTTGCATTTTTGGAAGTAGTACAGATACCTCTAAGAAGCTTTCTCCAGGGTCCTTCTGATTTCCAGAGGTTTTAAGGTTTTTCTAACTTAACTCTGTGAACTTATCAAAGATATGTCTGGTAACTCCAGTTTAGCACAAGTCTGGCACAATCGGTGTAATTTATGCAGAGAATACAACTGTATTTATGATTTTAAGGTAGTACCTCTTAGTGGGAAGTAGTGATAGCAGTTTGTGATTAAGGTAGAAAATTAATATGGCACCTTTATTAAAAGGGGTAAAAATTATTAGAAACTAAAGCAGCATATAATGATGACTTTTGTGATAGTGCTTGCTAGTGTTTATAGAATCATAGAATCATTTAGGTTGGAAAAGACCCTTAAGAGCATTGAGTCCAACCATAAACCTAATACTGCGAAGTCCACCACTAAACCATGTCCCTAAGCACCACATCTACACGTCTTTTAAATATCTCCAGGGATGGTGACTCAACCACTTCCCTTGGGAAGCTTGTTTCAATGCTTCATAACCCTTTTGGTACAGAAATTTTTCTTAATGCTCGATCTAAACTTCCCCGTCACAACTTGAGACCATTTCCTCTTGTCCTATCACTTGTTACTTGGCTGACACCCACCTCACTACACCCTCCTTTCAGGTAGTTGTAGAGAATGATAACATCTCCCCTCAGCCTTTCCTCCAGACTAATCAACCCCAGTTCCTTTAGCCACTCCTGTAAGACTTGTGCTCCAGACCCTTCACCAGCTTTGTTGCCCATCTTTGGACAAACTCCAACACCTCAATGTCTTTCTTGTAGTGAGGGGCCCAAAACTGAACACAGTATTTAAGGTGAGGTCTTGCCAGTGCCGAGTGCAAAGGGACGATCACTTCCCTGCTCCTGCTGGCCACGCTATTCCTGACACAAGCCAGGATACTGTTGGCCTTCTTGGCCACCTGGGCACACTGCCAGCTCATGTTCAGCTGGCTGCCGACCAACACCCCTAATCCTTTTCCATCAGGCAGCTTTCCAGCCACTCTTCCCCAAGCCTGTAGCATTGCACAGAGTTGTTGTGGCCAAAGTGCAGGACCCGGCACTTGGCCTTGTTGAACCTCATACAATAGGCCTTGGCCTATTGATCCAGCTTGTCTAGATCCCTTTGTAGAGCCTTCCTACCCTTGAGCAGATCAACACTCCCACCGAACTTTGTGTCATCTGTAAACTTACTCAATCCCCTTGTCCGGATCATTGATAAAGATATTAAACAGAACTGGCCCCAATACTGAGCCCTAGGGAACATCACTTGTGACTGGCTGCCAGCTGGATTTAACTTCATTCACCGCAATTCTTTGGGCCCAGCCATCCAGCCATTTTTTCACCCAATGAAGAGTATGCCCGTCCAAGCCACCAGCAGCCAGTTTCTTCAGGAGAGTGCAGTGTCAAAGGCTTTACTAAAGTCCAGGTAAACAAAATCCACAGCCTTTCCCTCATCCCCTAAGTGGGTCACCTTGTCGCAGAAGGAGATCAGGTTAGACAAGCAGGACCTGCCTTTCATAAACCCGTGCTGACTGGGCCTGATCGCCTGGTTGTCCTGTATGTGCTGTGGGAAGGAACTCGGGATGATCTGCTCCACAACCTTCCCTGGTACCGAGGTTAGACTGACAGGCCCGTAGTTCCCTGGACCCTCCTTCCAACCTCTCTTGTAGATGGGTATCACATTTGCTAACCTCCAGTCAACTGGGACCTCCCTGGTTAGCCAGGACTGCTGACAAATAATTGAAAGTGGCTTGGTGAGCACTTCTGCCAGGTCCCTCAGTACCCTTGGGTGGATCCCATCTGGCCCCATAGAGTTGCGTGTGTCTAAGCGGTGTAGCAGGTTGCTAACTGTTTTCCGTTGGATTATGGGGGCTTCATTCTGTTCCCCGTCCCTGTCTTCCAGCTCAGGGGGCTTGGTACCCTGGGAACAATTGGTCTTGTTATTAAAGACTGAGTCAAAGAAGGCATTAAGTACCTCATCCTTATCCTCATCCTTTGTCACTGTGTTTCCCCCCTCATCCAATAAAGGATGGAGATTCTCCTTAGCTCTCCTTCTGTTGTTAATGTATTTATAGAATTTATTGCATTCACTTCTGATTAAGTTGTTTCATTAACAACTATTCTTGGCAACAAGTAGTCTTTTATGGTTTTTTAAAGTACACAGGGATGAAAGACAAACATTGTATTTACTTTTTTTTTTCCATTGGTTAGCTGTCATTGCATGGTTAAAAATAAATTGCTTGCACTCGCTAATCAAGACTAGAATGCTGACTTGAACCATTTTCTTGACATATGTGCTAATGCAAGAAAATGGGGTATTCTAACTAATGTCTTAAACCTGTTCATCTACATCACTAACCTTTCAACAAAAATAGTTCTACTATAAAAACAGAGCCTGAGTGTTACAACACTGCACTAATGTATGTATGTTCTTTCTTTCCTTGCATGCATTACAGAAACAAGATATACTTAATCAAGTAAGTAATCTTAATTTGATTTTTTTTTCCTTTTGTTATGCATAGGAGCAGTATCTTTTATTTTGTAGGCTTCCATTGAGATGTCACTTATTAATAAATGCTGCATGTGGCTATTCTGTCATATAATAGACAAATACTTAAAGCTGAGAGCAAAAAGCACTGATTTTCTGCTGGCAGACTTTTTTACTAGGTGAATTTCATTTTTGTCAATCACAGTACATAATTTTGGTAGCATTAATTGGGACAAATATGAAAAATAAGTTAAGAGCAAGTAATTAACTTGTTCCATACTTGTCACAGAAATTTCTGCTTACTAGTGAGATCTTATAATGGTTTGTATTATTCTGAAATGACAATAACACATCCCAGATAAAAATATTAAATACTGTTTCTATAACCATGTAATACTATTTATATGTAGTAGGCTTAAAATTGCAGATTTTATAATTTGAATAAGGCTTATAGTGTGCTTTAAGCGATTGTGACTGCAGCAATTGCCAGATAAATGGTTAAAGAGCTGATCATCAACCCAAGACTCTACCCCTGAGAAGCTTCAGTAGCCTAAAACCAGGTATAAAAATACAATGAAAAAAAAAAAACCAACCCAACCCTAGGAAGAAGGACTAATCAAATGAACTAGTTTTTTAAATGACCTAGTTATTATTCCTTTGCAGCACAGAGGTGTTAAAAAGCCCCTGCTCTACTGCTCTGGGAAGAGGCAGCCAGAATATGAGAAAAAATGAAAAAGTCAAGGGACTGAAAGGATTAGTTTTGTAGGAACCCCTCGCTTTCTGGGGTCAAAGGCTGGTTGAGCTTTTGAAGGTGTATTACTGAGAGCAGTACTCCCCGTTCACAAAAGGGCTCACTTTTCTTCAGGTGACCAACATTACTTTTTTAGTAAGCCAACGGAGTGACTGTAATGGATCCCGAAAGAGAAGGTATTCAGGTTAAAGCAGTGTGTCTAGGACCAGTCTTGAGACTAATCTCATTAGTATTTTTGCTAATAACTTTGTCAAAAGAAGTAGATGAATGCTAATAGAATCAACTCACTAAACCAAATTTGGGAATTGTTGATAAAATGGAGAAAAATCTGAATATTCTATTGGAAAAGCTTGATGACATTATGGACTATAGTAAATGGAAATGGAGTGAAATGCACTAGTGCAGAGTACAGCGTGGTGTACCCGGGGACTAGTGGCATTGTTAGATAAAGAGCTGAGTGTGGTAGTTGATCACAAGATGATTGCAAAGCATCATTATGGTTTGGCCATGAAGAAGAGACTGAGACAGTGTAATAGTATTCCTGTGGCCATGGTGGTCTGAGAACAAAACAAGACTTGTAAGAAAAAGTAACGTCTTAGGCCAATTGACATAAGTGGAAAAGTAGTTAAAATTTCAAGCCCACAGAAATATGGATTGAAAGAAGGATTTTTGTGCTGTTTCCCTCAGCTACATTCTTTGATCTGACAGCGGATACTAATTTACTGTAAAGACCTTGCCTTGTTATGACATATAAAGTGAAGTATTTCTACTACAGATAAGGAAGATTTAATTTTCTATAAAAAGGTACTGCAGAAACCGCATCTTTCTGCTTTTGACCAAATGATGGGACAAAGTGAACTCAAACTGGAACTAATTTACAGAAGGGTTAGTAGGATGTGGAGAATTATAGGATATCTATTACGTAGGAGAAGCCTGTCCCTTGCATGTAAGAAACTCAGGACTAAGAAAGGATGTTGTATCCTTGTAGCTACAAAAGAGAAAAATGTAGCAACTTCTGAGTATCACTAGCAGAAAAGTCTACCCTTAGACACTGGGCACTCAATGCTTTTCTGGCTCTGTAGGCAGAATTTCTAGCAAAACAACTTCCTGGATACCTAGAGAGTTGGGAAGCCTGCCAGGCAGAGATGCTGGCGGTCTGGCTGTGAGCCTGCTTTCTGTGGAAAGCGTTGAAGGCACTGAGGTGTAAAATGTTTCGGATAGTCAATTTCTGCTGCAAAACTGTTTGGTTCTGAACATTTTTTATGATCTTCAATGGTCCCTCTGTCTCCTTTCCTCAGTCTGTGCTAACACCTCTCCCTCCTTGGTATCTTCCTTCCCTTTTGATAATCCCCTCTCTGCCTTAAGATCCCGTTTTAATCTTTTTTTCCCTACTTTTTTGCATTGCACAGTATCTTACGTTTAAGCTTTGTGAGCCTCGTACTGTTTTCATTTACGTTACCTGTTTAATTCTCATAGTTTGTTAAATGGCTAACTCAAGGGGACTGTTTTCCAGTTCTGATGTGCACTAGATACTGTTTCAAAGTATTTTACAAGAAAAAGAGTTTAGTTTTTGGTTTATTAGGGTACCACCATCAGTATTTAGACAGAAGTTGATACAGAATTTTAAGCTGCCTTGATATTCAGGCCAGAGGAACCATTCTGTTTCAAAGAATATGCTGCTTAAAAGTACACCATTTTTAAAGGAAAACAAACAAGAAAAAAGTGGAGGATCACACTCATGTCTGTTTTATTTTTAACATATTTTATTTGAAGAATGACAGACTACTCTGACAACATTTCAGCTCCTCTAACAGCATGAAATCAGAGTGTAAATATGGTACCAATTATGGTACTGAGTTATAAAGTATGAAAAATGCTGTCCTCATATTTTCATATTAATTTGAACTATCAGCTAAGTTGTTCTTTTCATAAAGTGAAGTAAACACAGAAATAAATTCCTTCAGAAAGGATACATTTAGTGTATTTCTTGATTTTTATATTGCCACTAATATTTAAAATGGATGCATTTTGGCTCAGGTATACATGCAGTGGTGCAATTTTTATACATAATTCAGAGCTACAACTATTTATTCTGCTAGTCCTTGGTGATAAATTTCATAAGATTTAACTACTAAGATGAATTTAACATCAATGGAAAAGTATTTTTGTGTTTTTAAATTACTGTCATTTTAATTGAATTACCCTGTGCCTTCATTTGATCACTACATGTTTGAATTAATGCTGTGAAAGACATAGCGGGGGAGAGGTATTTGGACTCTGCGAAAAAACACCAATTCTACAGGTGTTTATATTACCTGGTCAGACACAAGGATTTTTCAGAAATCAGGGATTCATTCATTCATTCATTTTGCATGCCACCTATCCCATTTTTCCTAACTTCTGTACTAACTGTAATTTTCAGATGACCAGTTCTGCTGGGACAGAATGCAAGCTATCTTCTCCTCACTTTGTTTAGTATGTTAATAATTTAGGTGTATTTCTTCTAACATTCTTTATTGGTAATACACGTAAAATAGACCCTGGGTGATAATCTCCTACAAGATTCTTCTAAAAGTATATGCCTTAGTGCTCTTTCTTCTTAAAAAAAACCCCACCTTTGTATAGTAAATTTAGCATATTTAGTAAATTTATGTATTAAATATATGTATTTATGTGTGTAGTACATATGGATATACACACTTACACACATATAATCACGTACTAAAGAAAACCTGCTGGTAGTAAAGTTTTATTTTTTCTTACCCGGATATAGGACTGGGATGAGACTGCAGTGGTTGGTGAATACATTCCAGATTTATTTTAGTAATTAGCATCAATTTATTTTAATGACATGAGAATGTAGTACAAGGTTATGCTTAAAAATCAAATTACTGCGTAAAAATTGAGTCTTCCCATTTCCTTTTCAGATGTTTTGTTGAGTTTACTTCTTTGAAGAGACATGCTAGCTGCTTTCAAATATTGCAGGGTAATTGTTTCTGATAGGAGACATAAAGGGAAAATTTTGGCAGTTATATATGTCTGTAGTATTGGTAACATCCAAACATTATTTGGCCATATGGACTATTTGGTAGGAGCAGCCTGTGAGAGCATGTGGGGGTTTTTAATTTTTTTTTTCTGTAAGCTTTCATCTCAGGAGATGAGAATTTGGATGCTGCTTTGTTCAAGAAATAGTTTTACTTGGTTACCAGAACTTTCAAAATTAATTACATAAAAAAATCTATTAAATCAAATGCTTAGATCAGAAAGTGCTAAGGACTTTCAATTTCAACCAAACTTTATCCTGATGTACAAAGGCAATCTCCATGAGGAATTCCAAATTTAATTTGAATTTCTGCCATAGGAACATCAGAAATACATTTTAAACACCAAAAACATATGCATTCTCATGTAATTCGTGTTTTCTAGCTTATTAACCCTGTCTGTATGGTCTCTGCTTTTTTTCCACATATTTTGGCAAAAGTCAGGTTTTGAAACATTGTCAGAATCAATGAATCTTCAAAACTTGGACTTCTACTGGGGATGCTTTAGCATTGCTTTTCACGGCTAATCATGTAATTGTCACTAATGCACTAACATTAATGTGTGCAGTTGTTGTCATAGCACTATGTGTGACTCAAGGCCCTGTAACATCTACTCCCTTTTCAACAGCTCATTTTTCAGATATTGGGTCAATATAAATTGTTTAAAAAGAAACGATCAATTAAGGGGACCTACTCACAAACAAAAATAACGCAGAGCTATTACTGTCAGTAGATTAAAGCTTACTATACATTTTTGGCACCATTTGGAGATCAGGCAACATAATTTAGAAAGTAATTAATTGAAAATTACATTTCAACTCTTTCCATTATCTCTGAAATGTTCTCTTTAATAAGTGAAAACCATATTTCATGGAAGTCTGCTGGAATGAATGATTTATCTTTTTCTGCCCCTCCCCCCCTTCTGTTTTTCAGGATGACAAAAACAGTGGCTTATGTTGAAATATTTTGTACAAATTTAAAAGAGGAAAAAGACCAAAGAAAATGTGGTATTTTAAAAGAATTTATGGGTGGAGATTAATTCCAAACACTAGATCATGCCTTGTTCCCATTTATGTGACCAATGTGGTGGGGAGGAATAAAAGGAGTTATTATTCTACCCCTCCCTGCTCTGACCCATCCACAATGGCAACTCTTTTGTTGAGAGACTATTAATAAGTTGTGTTTCTGTGTCTTGTG